TTTGTTGTTGGCTTTTTGTAGGAATTCTACGTGGCAAATGATCTGCTGGTTTAAGCTTTGCCACTGCAGAGCAGGGTCTGTTGGTCTGGATTGGATTTGAAGGGGTTATTTAAGACCCCATTAAAAAAAAAAAAATGGAAAAGCCATTCCTGGGTGTGTGGTTTCTCACAGAGCGACAGCACTAAAGCATGAACTGCACCCAGAATATTTACAATTAGCCAGGTTAACATAAATTGGTTCTTAGCACACCTGACTTAGTTTGGAGTGCACACACCCCCCAAAAATGATTGTAATGAGACCTTGAATTGTGTCCTTCARTGGCACTCACTTGTGAGCACAGGCTGATGTATGTGCATGTCCTGCCATCTCCAGAATATCCCTTCAGGCAGTTACACGCTGCCTGCAAAGCAAAATCAGAAAAYGTCAATACATTGAAAAACCCTCAGATTTTTCTTCCAGCACACATATATTTAGTTTCCTTTTCCCCCAGATAATTTCCTGGTGATATGATGTGTAATTTATTAGGCTRAAAGTAATAAAATGGGCTAAAATAATCTCTCCCACAGCAGTTTCTTGGCCRTTATAAGCAGCCACAGACTGAGATTGGGAAGTAACAATTTTAAATAAGTTYCATCTGCCTTTACCCTGCCCATCTAACTCTGGTCTCCTCTCTGCTGTTCTGGATTTTTGAAATGACCCCGCTGACATCTGCAAATTATTGTCTTGCTGACAAAACAGGCTAACCCCCAAATTTTTTTTCCCTCGGGTTTTTTTTTTTTTTCCCATAGGTTGGTATTCCCCTCTCATCTCTTCCCTTGCCCTGCTCTTTTTTTAAGTAATGAAATGTRTCTTCAAAACAATTGTGTCCTGGAATTGTGTGATGGCTACTTCATTTTGCACTTGCAGTTATCACAAAGGTGAAAATTAGTTGCAAAGAAATGAATTTTTTTTCTCCAATTCACTGCTTAATGGTTCTCAATTTAGAATTTTCATTTAATATGTAAGAAGCTGAAAATTCAACCAGATTTCTGCAGCAGAAATAAAACTGGGAGATAGTCTAATAGCAATGTTCATGTACCTTCTGGGTGAGTGAAAGCCCTACAAAAAGCAGATGCATTTCTGTCCTATAGATTTGCCTTTGCAGTGCTGGGATTTAGCAGTGGATGTTGTTATTMATCTGATGTTCATTCCATTCTCATGGGTGGGGAAGAATAAATAAAAAGGTTTTAGCTGCTAAAACCATAGCTGGGTGGAAGAAAACACACCCTTGAATSCTTGGGAATCCATTTGAGCTGTGCAGGGAGAAGGGCTAGTCTGAAATGGAATCTTTTCCATAGACAGTTTCTATAACAATAAAAGAAATATCACCCAGCAGTGTTTTCAAACTGGCAAGTTTTCACATCAAAACTTCCCAAAGGCAAAAAACAACCACTTGAAATAGTGGAACGCTGCTTTCCTCTGCAGTTTTGGATTTCTTTCACTGAAATTATTTTTTTTTCATGTTTGTCTGCATTCCCCTTTTTTGAGGGAAGCAYATACTTTTCAGAATTGTTGCTATGAAATTCACTTTTCTATTTAAAAATAAAGTTGACTCAGAGAGATCTTTCTTTGCCCAACAATAAACACTTGGCTGGGCCTATTTTTCTTCACTAACAAAATACTCACTTGATTGGGTCCAATCTGCGTGCATTCTGCATTTCTATCACATCCACCATTGTTCACCAGGCAAGGGTTGATTTCTTTATAAAACAGAAACAGTGCAAGAAAGAGTCATGCTGAAAACCCAAGGAGGAAGAATTTTAAGTAAAAAAAAGCATGCTAGGAATGCAGATTTGTASCAAAATCCATTCCCTCAGCTACTTTAGCACCTCAGCCTTAGTTTTCAGTGATGCTGGTGAAGGTTAAAGCCCTGCCAGCAGTGTTTTTGAACCCAAACTTGGGGAGGTGGGGTATGRTGTTTAAAAATCTTTAAAGAAAAAAAAAAAAAAGTTAGTGATGGTCAGAGGAGTGTGAGGATGGGGTTATCCCTTCTTGAGGAAGATGTTTGACAAGCTCTGGTGTCCCCAGAAAAATCAGCCAAGGCGAAGGAAGAGCTGCCTTTGGATCAGGGGATGC